CACATCATTACTGTGACCCTCTCTGAATAAGGCCCCATTCTGAGGTCCTGGGGGTTAGAACCCCACACTGGATCTGAGGGGACAACATTCAGCACAAAACAAGGTCCGAGCCCCAGCGTCGTGTTCCCGGGGACCTTTCACCGGCCCCTCCCCCAGAACAGATGTGCCCGATGCGATGCTGGAGTCACATCTGGCCTCTTGTCCCGCCCTCACGCGTGCACCTCCTGGAGAGGAGCAGCTTACCTGTTTGGGGTCTGCCTTTGGCTCAGAGTCCAACATAGAGCCCAGCAGGTCTGGGAAAAAGCTCTAGGCTGACGCTGGCCCGAGTGGCTGAGGGGTTGAGCATAGCCCTGTGCACCGAGAGGTCGCTAGTTTGATTACCTGTTCAGACTTGATCCCCAGTAGGGGGCATGCAGGAGGCAGCCGATCGGTGTTTCTCTCTCTCCCTCTCCCTTCCTCTCTCACTAAAATCAATAAAAACATATTTAAAATAATAAAGAGCTAACATGCAAATGGTCATCACACCCTCACACCATTATGCCGTAACAGCTCAGACACTCAAGACTGGGGAAAGAGGAATGGTCCCTCTCCCTTCCTCTCTCAGCTCACGAGAGAGGAATGGGGACCAGCCAGGTTACAGCCCGGGAGAGGGACAAGCCACCCACCCCATGGTCCTGGGCACCTGTGGCTGCAGCCCAGGCGAAGGGGAAAGAGGAATGGGGACCAGCCAGGTTACAGCCCGGGAGAGGGACAAGCCACCCACCCCGTAGTCCTGGGTGCCTGTGGCTGCCGCCCAGGCAAAGCTGGCCCAGGTCCCGGCTGCCTGCGACCAGCCAGAGGAGGGAATCCTAGGTCCCAGGTGTGGGGCGAGGCAGAGGCGGTTAGGGGCAATCAGGCAGGCAGGCAAGCAATTAGGAGCCAGCGGTCCCGGATTGCGAGAGGCAGTCAGACATCCCCCAAGGGGTCCCAAATTGGCCAGGGTGCAGGCCGGGCTGAGGGACCCGCCCCCCCACACACAAATTTCATGCACCGGGCCTCTGGTATTTAAAATAAAAAAGCTCTAGGCTGGCCCTGCCCCCCACAGGCAGCCACACACCTGGAAGACAGGTGTAAGGCACCTCTTGACTAGCGCTGGATAGCCAGCTGTTCGTGACCATGACCCCAAGGGAGGGGAAGCTTGGGAGGGAACCGCAGATCTCCTGGGGCAATTCCCGCCATGGCTCAGACAGCTGGGGTCCTGGGACATCACGGTGGTCCCACTGAGCTGAGGAGGTGCTGACGTTTCCGGAAGCTGTGGGGCAGGGTATCAGCAAGGGACTTTGAGCTGGGGATGGAGTGATTCCGGAGGTCGAGCAGGGGCAGAGGCAGGGGCAGGGTCCAGGCCGGGGGCAGAGCCTCGCTCACCCCGGGACCTGCCACTGCCAACCGAGAAGGTGTGCCTCGGACAAGGTGCCATCCTCGGGCTGTACGAACGTTAGACTCCCCCTAGTGAACCCAACACAAGCCCAGATGGGGTCTCTGGGGACAGTGTGGGAGGTGGATCTCCCCATGTCGGGGGCTTGGGAACATCTAGGGGTCCCCCAAACCCACCAACAAAGGATGAGGTCAAGTACATACCGACCGGTTCAGGGCAGAGAGCAATAGAGCTGCCCATTGGAGCAAAACCCAACACTCCCCGCACAAGGGGAGACCACGCGTCCTACCACGCTCCTGGGAAGGTACGTGCGCAATAAAAAGCTAGTCACTGTGTGTGTGTGGGGCGGGGGGGGGGGGGACAGAAAAAAGGGGACCCAGAGTAAAGAAGGAAGCAATCGATAAAAACCAACTGCACGATGACTCAGGGGCCAACACAGCCGTCACAAGGACCCAAAAGGCAGGCACCACAGAAATAAAACATGGGATCAATGGGCCTCACCAACATTAAAATACGCTGCCCTCCAAAATCCACCTTAAAAAGAAACCCCAAAAACACCCACAGGGAAAGTCACAGACAGCGAGGGAATACTCGCCACGCACAGCGCTGCCAGGGGCTTGGAATCAGCACATACCACGGACTCTCACAGCTCAGGCGTAAGGCACACACCCCAATAAAAATGGGGCAACGGGTATGAGCCCCACTCCACAGAGGGGGCTCTCTACTGGCCGAGCAGCACCTGAGAGGCGGCTCGTTATCGCCCGTAACCACGGGGAAGCTCATTAAAACCGCAGCGAGACCCCACTTCACACCGCACGGCGCCTCATACTGCAGGCGGCGCTCCCCGGTGTTGGCAAGGGTGCCGAGCATCTGGCATTCTCTCCCACGGGTGGGACGTGTGACATTGCGCAACCGCTCTGGGACAATTCGGCAGTTTCCTTACGAACTGGGATACGCTGTGACAATAGGCCCCAAAGAAAGGAAAACATGCCCACAGAGACCCCCGCGGGAGAGTCCGAGGGGGCAGGACCCCCGTGCCCCGTGGCCATCGGCGCGGGAAGGGATACGCAGCCAACAAGGTGCAGACTTGCACTGCCCCGGCGACCCTGAGCAGGAAGCAGACCCGGGGAGCACGTGGCTGCGCGGCTCCATCGTGTGCGGTTCCACAGCAGGCAAATCTGAGCGGCAGCAGCAGGAAGCGGGTGGGCAGTTACCTGCAGGTGGGGCGGGAGGCGGGAGGGCTGCTGGATTGCACAGCGGCTGGAGGACACTTTCCAGAGGAGTGTATATCCGGGTAAATGCGGGGGTTGCCCAACTGTGAACATCTTTCACCTCATTCAATTGCACACTTAAACCGGTGGGTTTTGTCGTATGTACGTTATACCTCCACAAACCGGCTGTCTCCAAGCCCGAGGTCTTCCCTGGCGGCCCCACAGTAGATCGTGCGGATATTTGGTGACTTTTCATGCCCAAATGCAAACATTCTGTCAACGGGCTTGGCCAGGGCGAGATTCCTGGGGACTGGTGGAAGGGGTGAGCCTCCGGCCGACGGCACCGCGGCCGTGAAAGCCGCGTGGTTCCCTGGCAGCTGTGCCGGAAACAGCTACATCTCAAAGGCCTATAGCAGGGAAGGTTTGTGTCTCGCGCTTTACGGTAGCCAGTCAGTCCCGTTCTCTACACGCCGGCGTCCAAGCTGAAGCACAGAGCCGGTGTGGGCGCGCGAGCCGAGCCTCGTGGCAACGCTCAATGGCACTTCAAGTTTCTGCTCAGAAGGGTGTCCTCTCACGTTCCATCGGCCCAAGTAAGCAAGTGCCACGCCCAGTGGTGCTGGGAAGGAGAACAGGCCCTCTCTGCAGGTTCCCTGGGGATGTCCTGTTCACGTATGGAAAGGGGATGCAAACATGCTACTAGCACATCTCCCAGTTCAAACACACACACACACACACACACACACACACATACACACACATACACACACACACACCAGACTCTCACACAGAGCTTACACCTTCAAAGCCTGGGTTCCTGAATTCAGAGGACCTGGGACAGCCCGCGCTGCCAGCCGCTGGTAGCCAGGAGCCAATCCTGCCTGGGCACTCGGCCTGGCCACTTCTCAGCACACGCTTTCCAAGAAGCCACTGGAGGCACCAGCGGGACCTGCTGTCCCACAGACAGGCACACAGTGTCCCGGCGGTGTGGCTGGGCCCGGAAACCAGTCCCAGAGGATAGAAGCAGGTGACCCACCGTCCCAGTCTGCCCAGTGGATGAGGCTTCCCGGAGGCGGGGGCGGGGGGCGGGGGGTCAGTGATAAAACCAACCAGGAAGGTCTAGCAGAGACACCACCGTGATGCCACCGCCCGTCCCCCTCCGGCCACCGGTCCTTCCCAGAGAGGCGAGTAGCCTGTGAGCACCGGGGAACCACAGCTCCCGAAAGCGGGCCTTCGCACCGACCCTCCCTCCCACCGCAGACGCGGTTGCTTTGGGGCTGAACAAACCCAGCGTGGCCATCCAGGGGGAGCTGGGTGCCTTCCTCCACATGGACCCTCTACTCCACGGGGATCCCTTGAGCAGAACGCAACTGTCTTTAAAGTATTGATCTTCTCTGACTCGGCGACTGAAACTATCGGAACGTGGGACATCTGAACTTAGGCTGAGGCTGTTCTGTGGCCTGTGTAAGCTGGAGGCTCGGGGGCGGACCAGCTATCGGCAGGCACGGCTGGACCCAGATGCTTAAACAAAGTCCTGGGTTCTCTTGGCCACCAGCACTTTCCACCTCTTCCCTTCTCCCTGTCTTCCTCTTTCAGGTATTTCTCTGCCTTTCTCAGCTCATTATCCTTAGGCTTTGAGGACAGGTACCCTTCATGGGGTATGAAAAATGGCGGCGGGCGACCCCAGGCAGCTTTGCGAGTCTTGAGCCAAATGACACCGCCTCCTGCTGGGCGAGCTCCAGCCTGGGCCACACACCCTCCCTGCGGTAAGGGGACACGGGTCCAGGACTGCCAGCCCCTCCAAGCCACATTAAGAGGGAGAGAAAGTGTTCAAAATTCTCCAAAAGAAAGGGCGTGTTGCTGCCTTAAAAAGGAAGGGAGCCTGCTCCACAGAAACCCATCGCGGAGCCACGTCCACTGCAGCTGCGTTCTGTGAGGCATCAATACCATCTTCATCACCACCACCTTCAACATCAACATCCCATCACCACCAGCACCAGCACCACCAGCACCAGCACCACCACCAACAACAACCCACCATCACCACCAACAGCGTCACCATCACCATTACCAACAACCCTCCAATAACCACCATCACCATTATCAACTCTACCACCACCATTCCTTCCATCACCACCATCATTAAAAACAACACCATCACCACTAGCACCAACAACACCATCACCATAACAACAAAACCATCGCTGCCACCAGCTTCCTGGCAACCCAGCATGGAGCCCTAGCTCTTAGCTGCAGACACAGCCAAGGAACTGGGAACCTAACGGAGAAGGAGACGCTGGCTGAATCAGATTTTCCTAGTGGGAACTCCTCTCCTGGCAGCTCTTCTGTGGCCGGAACCCAGCGTTCCACTCACAGCTTTGCAATGCCTCTCCGAGTTGGCTGAGCTGGTCCCAAAGGCCTGCGATCCTGTTTTGGAGAGAAACACACGTGAGTCACTGGGGCTGACATTCTCTGAGATCTGACAGAGTTTCTACTTTGGGAACCTACTAGCCGTGACTCAGCAGCGATTCACCCGGGAGCAGGCCGGTGAAGCTGGGGACAGGCCTCCTCGTGGGCCCTGCTGGGGCCACTGGGAGCTGGGTCGGCGCTGGGCTCTGCATACTGTCTCCTGGTGACCCCGTCATGGAGCTCAGGCTGGGCCTGAGGGTCAGAGAGAGGAAGCGGTGCTCCCCATGGTTACACAGTGAGTAGCGGGAAGAGGCAGAACTTGAACCCAAAGCTCTGTGACTCCAAAGCCACAGACGTCATTGTCCCAAGTGGTTGCTATGCTGTCCCAGGCTGGCCTTTCGACTCTGCCTTTCACTCATGGACCTGGGAGGCCTGCTCTGAATGAGGCCTCTCTGGCTTTCACCCACCTTTCTGGGAGAACGGCTTGGTGGTCCAGGGCGGTGCTCTGGGTGTAGCCATGTGAGCCGGCTGTGGGAGCAGCAGCATGGCCGGAGGCCTCTCTGTGCTGCCAGGGGACAGGCCTATGTGTCAGTCAGGGTTCCACCAGGAACGAGATGACTCAAGTTGGGGAAACTGCAGAGGATGGGGAGCACGAGGGTGGGCGCTGCACCGCACTCCGGGCCGCGGCCACCCTTACTTAGGCTGAAGGGATGGGGAGGCACATTGCCGGGACCTGGAAGGAGCTACTCTGACAGAGAGCTGCCTAGGGGGAAGGTGCGCCCTTTCATCCAGGGACACAGCCTGCCCAGGTGACCCCACAGGGGAGCTGCTGTGCTGTGCATATTGTGACTTCTCCTCCCCTCTTACCTGTAGCCAGGTCTCGCCATGGCCCCACCCCACAGGAAGCCAGAAGGCATGGAGCCCAGGAACGGGGCCCATGAGGCTCAGCCTCTGGGGCAGAGAGCAGGGCAGAAAGGGAGCCTGGAGGGTCAGTGGAAAGTGGCCAGCACAGGGTGTGTGGCCCTGTGGACCCACAGCATCTCCTACCCCCAATGGGGGCACATTGGGAAGGGGAGATAGTGGCCAAAGGGAGCTTCCCTCTGTGAAGCAGACGGGAGGGGCAGGACGCCCACCCAATCTCAGCTCTTCTAGTGGGTCTGGGGGTCCTCAGGAGACTACAGGTGGCCCCCAGTGGCTCACCTGGGGATCGGTGTGCCCACAGCCCTGCCTGCAGCATCCCCTCATCCTTGGGGGTGTTCACTATTCCTGCAAGGAGCTCTCACTGTCTCTTTCCCTGTGGGAGACCATCAGGGACCAGAACCCCCCAAATCATAGCCAGCAGTGATCAGTCTGTAGAAACATCCTCTCCCTCTCCAGGGCTTGTCCAATATGTAATCGGCAATTTCAAATGTACAAAGAAACAAGAAAATGTGACTCATAGTCAAGAATGAAAAACAACAGTCAATGGAAATCAACCCTAAAGTGGCCTGGATAATAGATTTAGCAAACAAATCTTTCAAAACAGCTCTTATAACATTGCCCCAACGTTAAAAGATAATATGCTTGAAGAATTCATGGAAAATATAGTCTTAATAAGGAAACAGATGAGGAATCTAGGCGGAGAAATGGACACTGTAATAAAGAACCAAGTGGAAATTCTAAGTCGGAAAAGATAGAGACATTAACATTCACAGTTGGAGCTGTGGGCCTGAAATTCCGGAGGGGGACCAGGTCGGGAGCTAGATATCAGAGAGTCGTCAGCATGGAGATGAGAATAGATGAGCTCACGCCTAAGGCTGTGGAGACGGAGCCACAGCCCTCACTCCCACTGGGGAGGTCAGACAAGCAAACGGCAACACTGAGCCCTCTTAGGTGACTGCAAATAGCACCTTTCCAATCCCGCCTCTCCGAGGACTCAGCCCGGAAACAGAGCCTCACCGCATTTTGTCCCTCTCAATACACAGCTACTAACTACAAGCACCTCACGAAGCAGAGATTTGGTCATGGGGATCCTTCCCTGCCAAGTAGAGCTGCTTTGGGAAACCGGTATGAATGGGGCTTCTTGCTGGGGTCCAGGCAGATGAACTCTCCTGCTCTCTCCCACCCTTGCAAAATGTGATCTGTGATCTTGCTTGATTCTGGGACCAGCAGGGCCCTGCTGGGTGCCCCGTATCCCTAGGCTCCAGAACCTGAGGAGGGGCATGGAGGGAGTGGCTGCTGTCAGGGCCTGTTGGGACAGGAATCAGAGCAGGGCTGCTGAGGTGAGAGAGGAGCTCCCCATCCAGTGGGCAGGTAGGCATTAAAAGTGCCTTTATCTGAGCTCTGCCCTCGTGCAGGCACTGTGCTAAGCATGTTACATGAATTACCATAACGTCCCCACGAAGTGACAAGCCCCGTTTTCCAGGTGAGGACACAGAGACGTAGAGGAGTTGGGTGACTGACACCAGGGTAAGGTAGGAAGTGGTAGGACTCAGAGTCAAACCGGGTCTCTCTGACTCCAGAGCCTGTGTGTTTAGACTGAGGTGTGCCCCACTGTTGTTCGAACCTATTTCTTCCAGAGTCATCCTGGTCTCTGCAAATGATTCACCATTTTTTCAGCCACTGGTGTTAAGCACCTGGGAATCAGGATGGGTGGGTAGATGAATGGGTGAATGAATGGATGGGTGGATAGATGGTGGATGGTTAAATGGATGAATGGACGGAAGAGTGGGTAGATGAATGAATGGATGGGTAAATGAGTGGATAAGTGGAAGGGTAGATGGGTGGATGGGTGGGTAGATAATTGGATGGATGGATGGATGGATGGATGGATGGATGGATGGATGGATGGATAGATGGTTGTACATAGGAAGGGTCCCCACACCTTCCTATCCCTCCAAAATGATTACTTTTGTGGCTCCGTCAGTGTCAGCCATTGAAGGATGGCTCTTTGGTGTGCCAGGGGAGACTAGCGAACAGGCCCAGCTCCTCCCATCTTCTCCACGCACATTCTTCTTCCCTTTACAGTCACGCCCCAATCAGGCTTCCCTTTACAGTCACGCCCCAATCAAGCCTCACACCGTGGCACCCTCTTGAGGGACTCAGCTTTCCAGGAGGCTCTGCTGAACCAAAGCTTCATGATCCTCGCTCGCCCGCCCACTGGGAGATGCTGCTGGCTTCGGCCTCCCCCTCCTCAGCCTCCCAAATCCAGCCCCCCAGCCGGCCCCCAGCCCAGCGCGGAGCCAGCCCCCGTCACCGCAGCTGTCCACACTGACAAAGCCTGGCTGTTCGATAAGGCCGTGCCAGCTGGAACGAGACACTTCCCGTCCGACGGGAGCTTCTGCACGGAGCCTGGGGGCAGCTGTCGGCTGGAGGAGCGTGGAGCCGGATCTGGGGCCTGCTCGGGGCCTGCACCCTCTCCGGGCCCCCCTCCCCCAGAGGCTCCACAGGGGGCCTGACATGGGGGGTCTGGAGGAGGGGCTTTTGCTCTCTGGACTCTCTGACCCTGATGCTTAAAAACCCGCCCCTTTGGGAGGTACAGGGTTCTGTTGCTAGGACAGGGCTGGGGCTGGTGGAATGTTGGCCCCTCCCTGGGTGACACAGTTTTCCTTGGTCATCAGGTGCCGGTGACCAGAGCAGAGGCTAAAGGAAGAGGTGAAGGTCGTCTATGTAACCAGCAGCAACGCATGGTCACAGCCAGGATGGACATCGGTGTTGGCCACCAGGGAGGCAGAGCAGTGTGCTCCGGCCAAGTCTGGCCCTGGGTCCAGCAAGAAGCCACTGCGTCTCTGGAACAGCTCTGCCGAGATCTCCACGGCAGCTGGACAGCCACTCCCGGCCCCTTTAGCTGGTCACTGGCCACTAGACACTCATCCCACAATGATTTCTTGAGCACCTACTACGTGCCAGGCATGAGGACACCAACAGACCCAAACCCCTACCCTCGTGGCAACTATGTTCTCAGAGCACAGCCTCCTCTGACTGGGACCAGCTCTGCTCAGTCACCCAAATCCCAGGCCCAGATCCCAGACCCTGGACCAGACCCCAGGCCCAGACCCCAGCCTTCAGGCTCAAACCCAAGACCCAGACCCAGCACAAATCCCAGACCCAGGTCCAGATCACAGAAACAGACCCCAGACCCTGATCCAGGCCCAGACCCCAGGCCCCAGAACCAGATCCCAGACCCCAGTCCCAGATCCAGACCCTGAGCCCAGATCCAGACCCAGACCCCAGGCCCTGGCCCAGACACAGGCCCAGACCCAGGCCAGACCCCGGACCCTGGCCCAGACATAGGCACAGTCCCAGACCCCGGGCCCAGACCCAGGCCCAGCAGAGCCAGCCGCCTTTTCTGGCTTGATTCCTTTATAAGTCTCTAATTACATCCTGGGAGAAGCAATTAGAATGAAACGGAGGGGTTTTTCTCTCTCTCCCGCAGGCCAGGCCTGTTTAATAACTTAATTGAATACACAGAATTATAATTACAACGTTAATATTTCCTCTCTGTAAAGCCGGCGCATTCTGCTGGAAGAAGCCTCCCTTGGGAATGGCCGTGTCCCACAGCCCCCAGCGCCTCCCGGTCCGAGTCCACCGCCTCCCCGCGGGTGCCCCCCGGGCTCTCCTGGTCCTGGGGCCCAGCAGGGCTGGCAGGAGCCCCAGCCCGGGGGAAGCTCGTCCTTCCATCCTGAGTGTTTACAGTCGAGCTCAAACCACACGGTGGAAATTACGCCGAAGCTCCTAATTGCACATTTCCTTCCTCCAACCATTTTCTTTGGACGGTCGACTTTGAAAACGTTCACCACTTAATTTTCCCCGGGGCAGGAGGAGGGAAGAAAGGAGGCAGCGGGAGGGGGACCAGCTCCCCGGGAGGGGCCTCCACTTCTCTGGCGTCTCGAGTGGGAACTCTGGGGTCGCAGGCTAGGGAATCTTACCTCCCGCCTCCCACCCCCAACTAGGTGTCTCCTTGAGTCTCATTTCTTGCCCATAAAATACAATTAAGAATATTCAGCTTGCAAAATAATGGTTTGAGATGGGCTGGCACGTAGTAGGTGCTCAATAAATGCTGGGCTCTTTTCTCTTAGCTCTGTGGAGGAAATGCGGGCAGGACAGAACCCGCTCCCCCCACCCCCACTCTCGTACCCGCCCCCCCCACCCCCACTCTCGTCTTCTGTCCGCATGTAGTTCATGCCCTGACTAAGAGCAGCTGCCGGGGTCACGTCCCAGCGTGCCCTCTGGCCAGGAGGGCAGTGAGGGCCTGGGGGAGTGACTTGTCATTGTGTGACTCGGTTTCCAGGTCCATAACGGGGCATGATAATGGGGCCAACATCACTGGGTTGTCCTGAGGATGATGGGACTCACCTCGGAAAGGGCAGGACCCACGGAAGGCTCAGCCGGCGTGGCAGCGACCCCTGCCAGTCGCTCTGGAGGTGGCTGGGGGCCTTGGGATCAGACAGACTTGGGTTTCAGCCCTGAACGTCCATGTACTTGGGACAGTCAGCTGATTCCCCGGATCCCCTGGATCTCTCGCTGTGAAATAGGCGCCAACACAGGGTTGCTGCAGGGTGTGAGGCAGGAAATGGGCAAGCACTCTTGCCCTGAGGCTGGGGCTCCGAGGGGGCCTCCGTCCCAGGGGTGATGAAGGGAGGAGGCTGCCATGCGCCCCGCAGCCCCCTGGGCCAAGGCCATGTGGGAGACCGTGCGGTCCCTCTCAGCGAGGTCGGTGCTGGGAATAGGAGCCCCCGCTTCCTGTCGAACAGGGAGCTGAGTCTCAGTTTTCCCATCTGTGAGCTGGGACCCCACCTCCCTCCCAGCTCCGACCATTCCCTTCCCTTCTGTGTAACCACCTGCGAATTCTGCCCTGGGCCCTGGCTGCTCCCCCGACTCGTGGGCACTCTAATAACAAATGGCTGGTAGCACCTGAGTTCTCAGTTCATGCCAGCTGCTTTCATAAATGATATGTCTTATATCAGCTTACACGTATTAACTCATTTAATTCTTAAAACTGCCCCGTGAGGGAGTTATATTTCCATTATTCCCATTTTACAGATGAAGAAACTAAGGCTCAAAGTTGCCCAAGGACACAAAGCTAGAAAGGGGCAGCCTGAGGCCAGAGCCTCTGCTCTTAACCATTGTACCACACTGTCTCCCTTCCGAGGAAGCAGAGAGAGTCCCGAGAGGCCAGGAGCCTGCGGAAGGCCCCACGGCAGGTTACTGGCTGCACACACGCACAGGAGTCCTAGCTCTCCCAGGCCTCTGTTCTTGCTTCTATACCCCCCTTGCTTCTATATTCACCATCCAGCCATATCCTCTGGGCATAACATGAGCAGGCTCTTCCTGGGAGAGGGACACAATGGAAACTTCTCCTACAATGAGGAACCTCATAGTTTCCTGTGAAATGTTAATAAAATCTCAACAAAAGTCATCGGGACCCACAGCAGCTCCCCAGGTCACTCAGGAATCGTCGGGACTGTGATTTCTATCAAACCATCAGGCACTGAACCCCCTTTTGTCAGCTCAGGAGTCTGCACAGAGCTCAGGCCCTCAGCGGTGCCGTGCGTAATGAGCCCACCTCCGTGCAACACGGTCAGGAGTAAAAATGTCCCACGGTTCCCGCTGACATTTGAAGAGGATCATGAATGCAAAACATGGAAAAATTAGTGGAGTTTTAAGCACAAAACACATTGACCTCGTTGAGATAGAAGGTTTCCCGGAGGGCCGAGTGTTTGCAAAGTTGTTGAACCAGGATGGCGCCTGGCTACGGCCTCGCCTTCCTTCAGCACGACCCACAGAGAGTGGGTGAGGGTTTCTCCGGGGCTGGCACAGTGTCGGGCAGACCACATGCCTCTGAGAGACGTGCGGGGAATGAATGAATAAGCGAGTGAACGAGCGGCGTGCCGGAGACAGGTGCCCTTGGGCAGGTGGGCCATTTTCCTCTCCGGCTCAGTGAACTCGTGCGCTAGGAGAGGACCTGTGTTCCCAGCTGCCAAGTCTCCAGGCGGCAGACCTGGGGCCTCACAGCAGCAGGGACCTGCACCACCCACCCAGGGGGCACCGGGCCCAGCGAGGGTCAGAGACCTTCTGGAGAGAGCAGGGCTCAGAAGGCATCCCTCCCTTTCTGGGAAGTCACACCGTCCAGCCCTCTCTCCCTGCAGGGCTCCAGGAGCCAAGGCCTTGGCCATCCAGCTGGGCCAGGCAGCATGCCCCCCCTTAGCTCCCCCTTACCCCCCCACTCCCACCCCCACCCCCTCACCCCCCGCCACACACACACACACATGCGTTTGGCAACTGCTCAAAAAGATTCCAGGGAGGTGGCCTAAAGAATGAGACACTGTATGAGTGAAGGAATGTGTGGTAGGAAGTGACAGTGGTGACTCAGGGTGACTCAGCCTGGAGCCTGCCAGGGGCCCGCTGAGCAGCCATCTGTGGCCACAGCAGCCCTTGCCCGCTCACCTCAGGCCGGGGCCAGTTCCCCTCTCCCCAGGACCCATCTCTCGGCCTGGCTTTGTGCCCAGACACTTGGAGAATGGAGGGGAAGAAGGTACATGACAGGTGCCTAGACTGAGCCCAGGAATGAAGTTGGGAGAACCTGTGAGCAGGAAGGCAGAGGGGCTGGGTTGCTACGCCTCCCCCTGGAGGACCCGGGAACCTCCTCCTGCTTTCCTTAGAAGCCCATCTCATCCAGCACCCCTTGGTGTTACAGACAAGGAAACTGAGGGGGCCTGACGTAGAGATGACCAACCAGAGTCAAGGGGCTGAGAAAGCGGAATGAAGAACAGGCTGCAAGTCTCCCAGTCCCAGCTGGGACCATGGGTTTCCCCAGGCTGCAGCCCAGTTGGTGGCAGGCAAGGGCATCATGCCAGGCAAGCCGAGGTTCTGCTCGGGACCTGCTAGCCCCACCAAGGTCTCTGCCAGAGTCAGTTCACATTGCCCACAGTCCCTCCTTGAGACGGACTCAGATGTGTATTGCACTGTCTACCAACCCACCAATCCATCTATTCATCTGTCCATCTGTCTACCCATCCATCCAACGGGAACTCTCCACTGTGCAGCCTGGCCATGTGGTGAACACTTACATAAAAAACCGTGTTGATGGTCCTCATTCTCCAGATCTACCCATCTGTCCATTCAGTGGTTTTTCACCCACCCATCCATCATCTGTCCATCC